TTCATTTTCTAAAAATCTCAAAGGAGTTTTCTGATAAAAGTAAAAAACGTTTAAACAGTTATGATATGTTTCAAATGGTTATACCATTTTTCGTATTTTATAATACCTTTATTTTTTAGAGAGTAGTGCTACTTGTTTATTTAGAATAAAAAATACTTATATACATTTAACATCAATTTTAAATTATGACAACGTTGTAATAGTGGAAATAACTTAAAAATAATAGTTCAATGATTTGATGATTTAATTTTAAATGTTATAGTTGACGAATAGGTGATGTTTTTTGCCTCGAATTGTTTATTAACTTCTTCTGATTCTTTATGATGTTTATGATCACGACAAGAATGTTTTCGATCATGGTATTTTTGATTTCGGTTCTTTTTCATCATCTGATATTTATTTCATAGTTAATAATGAAAAAACATTGAGTAAACATCCACGAGTAGCGCAGATTGAGCTTTTTAATATTTTTGTCAGAAAACAAATAGTTTCCAATGATATTTTACCAAGTTACCAACAACCAAACGTTCGGATACACAAGAGTAACACGTTTGGACAACTTGTTCATCAATCAAATTTAAAAACTAAACAAAATTAGCTCAATAGTCGAGCAACATTTAGTCTCAATTCGTCCCTGCATCTGCACGTAAAGGCTGAATTAAATTAATTAATTATTAAAAAAAGAATAACGACAATAGTGTGAAGAAAGAAACAAGATCAACTCATACAGTAAAATATCGGCGTTTTCTGAACAATTTAGAACCATCAGAGATGATTACAAAGAGATGGTCAATAATCTATATTAATCTGCGAATATTAAGTAAGGATACACAAAAGTTATCCAAAAAATGTTTCAGTTCACTCTCAGTAAATGGAAAAAACTTTATATTGATGGCAAATTTAAAGAATTACTTGACAAACATACAAGAAGAAGAACAAAATAATAATGTCTAATTGATCATTAAATGTGGTAGAGCTGTTAAGACAACTCTAGTCAAAAAATGATAATGTCTTGTGAATACAATACATACTAAGCTTGGGCAATTTCTATTATTGATGAATTTTCGTGTATCGTGTATATATTTTTAACGAGAAATGATTAATTTTTTTAATTTAGCCTATACATGGATGATAGAAACAAAAATTTACTAAAGATGAATCAAGAGGATAGTGTCATTGCAACCAACCAGTGTAACATTAGCCGTATAATCATATTGTGTAAATTCGAACGAAAATTAAAATATGACAAATCTGATAATGATTTTTATAGATATTGAACTATTAAGTGCTCGACAGATATTTTCATTTCTAATAATCGTCTCTCTTCATTTTTCTCAGAAAATGTAAAAATTCTTGATAATTTTTTAATCTAAATTTTATACTTTTTAATATTCGTTTAACATGTTTTATTAAGTCTATCGTTCAAGTGGTCAGTAAAATAGATGAAATGGTCAGTAGATAAAATAATTATAAAATCAGTAAATTAAATGACTGATCAGTACAATAGATGAGTGATTAGTAAGCTACTGGTCAATGGTCAGGTATTAATTAATTAGGTTTGTTAATAAATTTAAAAATCAGTAGATAAAATTTATTAACAGTCGATTATATTAAAGGGTAGGTTAGAAATTGAAATGTGTTAGTGTGATTTACTTTTTTTTCTTCTTTCTTTCTTTTCTTCTACCAATTTGTATTTTTTTAATACTAATTATATATAATAAACTGATCATTTTACAATTAATTACTGATCATTTTAGTACTAACCATTTATATACTTTTTACTTGCTATTTCATCTATTTTACTGACCAAATTTGATGTTCTCTTTTAATAACGGATTATCTCCTTTCTCCTTTTGTTTTTCCTTTCAGATTTTAGTTTATAATGATTAGTAAAACAAAATAAAGAAAAGTGAATTTTCACCTTCAAAATCTGAACTGGTTTTCCACTTTCCCTTTTCTGTGTAAGCATTTTATGACTCATCCGTTCCAGTATCACGCTTGCTGTATGCTATCTCACTATTTGTCTTCAACACATGTAGTTGATTTATTATTGTTATAGAGTACTTTGGAATAAAAAGAAACATTTGAATGAAATTCTTCACATTTTTGGACCCGCTTTAAAAACTTCTAGATATTTTCAGAAAATCTTTAAATTAGTTTGTAAAAAATATTCGTTCTACCACCATGTTCAATAGTAAGTTTTCTTGACAAAAAAAGGCTGAGAAAAATTTAAAAAAGACTTTTTTAAATCCAAACTTCTCTATTTTTTCTATCATGAACTGTCACACTCAACATATCACGGTTATCACGCTAATATACCGATCTGTTTCAGATTATACTGCAGTAACCCACAGTATTTTTGAGAGCCGTGGTATTCGATCAAAATGTTTGACATTCGATTCACTCATTATATCGCAGATGACCCATGTATCCGTTTTGCGTTTGAACGCTACTCGCCAGGTAAACGCGTTCGAACGCGTTTGTGTATAAGCGAAACAAAAAACGTTCGGACGCTGCAAATGTTTCATTTTTAAACCGTTTAAACTCGTTTGGATTGCGTTTATGAACGCCGTTTGTAAACGCATTTTTTTCGACTAGAAGTTGTTACATGGGCGGGCAAGTAGTGAAAATGTGATCATTTTGTATATCTGAAAAATAGCATGCGAAAATGTGTCCTAATAAGAAAACAGAAAACGGTTAACATACTTCAGGATTTTCATAGTTTATAGACTGAAAAATTTATTAAATAGATTTTGACGATAGGTGGCAGTGGAATATATAACGAACGAGACATCTACCTTAATCTTAAGAGGTATATATATTTGGAAAATTGTATGCTTTGAATATTACTTATAGATGCTTTTTAGACTAAAAGTAGATTTTGTATGAGATATACCTTTTAGGTTTTTTGTGTTCATTTTGGAGCAAAAACCACGAAATATTTTTCATGTATGGCTATAAGTTTAAGAGACAAAAGTGCCATTATTTTGTAATATTTTTTTTAATTATCGTATAATCCAACATGGGTGGAGCACCCTGTAAAGCGAAGGAAAATCAAAAGTAAGAACTAGAGAAAATGCATGAGACTTACACAAGAGACATTTTTGTTGTTCGATCATAAGAGCCGTCGCCCGTTCTTGTCGAGGGAGAATAGATCAGCGCAAAGAGTTAGACGTATCTTTTATTGTAGTAATAGTATCAAGTGTCTAATCCTATACATTTAACCTAATTTTGATAAAAAACGTGAACTCTTTTACACTAAGAGTATAATACTCTCCCTTGCTGTTCAGGCCGGTTACAATTGTCATACTTGGCTTGGACAATGCTGGTAAGCATTTTTATATCTGGAGGAAAATAGGTTCAATTCTAAATTCTTTTTTTGATAGGCAAAACAACAGCTGTTAAAGTGCTGGAAGGAGGAGGTATGCTAGAAAAGGCTCACCATCATATTTATCGTACCGTGGTCTTTTTCATTTTCAGCCTCCGATGATTCTGTAGTACCAACTGTTGGCTTTGCAAAAACAGAAATAACACATAAAAATGTAAAAGTAAATTTTTTTGATCTGGGTGGTGCCAAAGGTTTTCGTAATGCATGGAGACATTACTTTGCTGATGCACATGCATTTGTCTATGTTATCGATGCAAGCGAATCTAAACGCTTGGAAGAAAACCAGCTGCAATTAGAAAAACTCTTACAAGACGACAAAGTTAAAGGAAAACCAATGTTAATGTAAATATTTTTTTATTTTTTATTTGTACGACTGTTAGTCAATAGATGAGTATTTCTGTTTCCATAGATTAGCGAATAAACAAGATAAAAAGAATGCATTGAGCAAAGATCAAATTATTGAGAATCTGGATTTACAAGAATTATTAAATGGGCAAAAAAATCGTTATAGAGTGGTAAATAAAAAAACATGCTGACATAGAAAACCGCATCTAATTTTTAATTTTATTTAGGAAGTATGTACTGCAAAGGTATCCCAATCTACTCGAGGTAAAAAGAGGGACGAAAGCTTAGCAAATGGTTTTGAATGGTTGTTAAAAACCATTGATGAGCATTATGATGAAATAAACAAACGAGTAGAAAGTGATAGGAAAAAAAGAGATGCCAGCGAAGAAAGAAATAAACAAGCAGAAGATCGTGTACGAAAAACGCGTAAAGATCGTGATAAAGAAAATGATGATGAACTCGATGAAACCGATGAATATGATAGAAAGCGACAGCCCTTTGTGCCAATTTCTGAAGCAGTCAAAAATGCGGAAGTAAGTAATGATAAAAGCGTTGTTACATTTTGAGCTGAGCTATAATTTTAAATTTCGGCTGCGGAGTATGATATGTTATTTTTTGGATTCTAGAATACGTCTAGAAAAAGATTACCTCCATTATCGAAGTCGAACGATTCTGTAAATCATATGCGTTCGACATCACATACACGATTCGACGAACGATTAAACACTGAAGAAGACGGTTCTTCTCGGCATCATTCTATGAATACGCTAACTAAGCGTTGGCCTAATTCTAATTTGGAAACAGACACATATCGAAAAAACGGAGGTGAAAATGAAAGTAGCGATCATGTTAGTGGAAATGAATCGTCCTTAAAATCGTCAAAAAAAAAGAAGTTTACTGGAAAAAAATTGCAGCCTTCAACAGAAAATCTTTCTTCATCACGCTCACCAGCTGAAACAAGGCCATTTCGTTCGGCTCTTCAAGAATTTGATGGAGCCGGTACTATTCCAAAAACGGCTATACACGCTGGCGATACACCACGTCCGACCTTCAGTTCATGGTCCACTAAAAATGCTGATATCAGTAAGAAATTACCACCAATAATGAGTGACAATGAAGACAATGATCTACTTCATTCAAGGCCATACGCAAATACACGCACTAATAACACTAATGATTTTCGAAATTCATCATCATATTCACCGGTGAATAAAAATACTTTTGACGATAATTATTCACGTTTTAACAATAAAAGTCCATTAGCTTATGATACCAAAAAACCATCAGCATCATCCATAACATCACCATTAGGCACAAAAACAAACTGGAGAACAGAATCGTCAACAAAACGACCGAATACAGCATCAAATAATCGGCTTAATCAAGATAGTGATAATGACGAAAATAAACAAGAAACTTACACTAAATCAAAAATATCATCATACTCTACTTTTGAACCTAATAAAAAACGATTCGGTACGGTTGATGACGATGACGAATTTGGTATACAGAAGAAAACTACTTATAGTTCAAACACTTCGATTAAAAAACCTGCAGTGAAGTCCTCGCTTGATATGTCAGATGATGATATTATCGATCGCAACAAATACGGTACCTCAGTAAAATCATATAAAAAAGGGAGTGATGATGAAGAGCTTGGTATACAGAAGAAAACTCCTTATAGTTCAAACACTTCTGTTAAAAAGCCTCCAGTGAAGTCCTCGCATGATATGTCAGATGATGATATTATCGATCGAAGCAAATACGGTAGCTCAGTAAAATCATATAAAAAAGGGAGTGACGATGAAGAGCTTGGTATACAGAAGAAAACTCCTTATAGTTCAAATACTTGTAATAAAAAACCTCCAGTGAAGTCCTCGCATGATATGTCAGATGATGATATTATGGATCGAAACAAATACGGTAGCTCAGTAAAATCATATAAAAAAGGGAGTGACGATGAAGAGCTTGGTACACAGAAGAAAAGTACTTATAGTTCAAATACTTCTATTAAAAAGCCTCCAGTGAAGTCCTCGCTTGATATGTCAGATGATGATATTATGGATCGAAACAAATACGGTAGCTCAGTAAAATCATATAAAAAAGGGAGTGACGATGAAGAGCTTGGTATACAGAAGAAAACTCCTTATAGTTCAAATACTTCGATTAAAAAACCTCCAGTGAAGTCCTCGCATGATATGTCAGATGATGATATTATCGATCGAAGCAAATACGGTACCTCAGTAAAATCATATAAAAAAGGGAGTGACGATGAAGAGCTTGGTATACAGAAGAAAACTCCTTATAGTTCAAATACTTCGATTAAAAAGCCTCCAGTGAAGTCCTCGCATGATATGTCAAATGATGATTTTACCAATAAATACCTCGGTTCCGCAAAATCACATAAAAAAGCGAGTGACGATGATGATGACATTCAGAGCAAGAGTTATCCAACAAATACGCATAATGACAATAAGAAGTACACAAGTCCCATAAGTAACTACAATCAGAGTTACAATAGCAGTAATAGTAATAAAAATAATAATTCTCAATCACGTTTGTTGCCGTTGTCTTCCCCATCAACAAATTCTGCTCTTCGAAAGAGTCATTCGTCCGATGATGAAGGCGATTCACGGTTTCGAACAAAACAAAATAAATCAGACAGTGATAACGACGACAAATTTGGAAGTGCTGCTCGTTATGGTAATACGTCTTCACAACCTCGCTCTGTTGGTGGAAGTGATCGTAACAATACATCTTCAAGATCACGCTACGATGATACACCTTCACGCTATCCGCGCAATTCTGATTCATTTCATTCACATTCGAGACCAAATGCTGATACTGAAAATGATTTACGGTAAAAATGGCTGCCTTGTTTTTTCTAAGTGAAATGATATGTGATTTAATTACTTAAAACCTTAACACATATTTTTTGTTTTCGGGAAACATATTCAACTGCTTTTTTTGTTTTTTTATAAAAAATAATATACAAGTATATCCACGTATTCATACAAAGTAGCTGATTCTATGAAACTTTTAAAATTTTTGAATAAGAATTTATGTAATTAATGCCTCCATAAAAGACACGTTCATTTTGAGCCCGAATTATGCGCAATTGATCCCGTTTACTGATTTTCGGGGAAAATTGCATAAGTGATCTCGGCTTTTCTAATATTCTTAATTAATTATATAATAGCACATTGATCCTGGAAAGAGCAAATTTTTTTCGTACTAACATAATTGATCCCGGAAAAAAGTTAATTTAGTTACTAAATTATCATAACTGATCTAAAAAATGTAAGTCGTCTGGACCAGAGCCCTGCAGGTTGCCAGTATTTGGCAACCTATAACCTAATCTAGCCTATAACTTTTGCAACCTAATCCTAACCTAACCTATGGATTTGACGACCTAATCCTAACCTAACCATTGACAAAAAAATAGAACAACCTATAACTTAATCTAGCCTATAACTTTTGCAACCTAACCCTAACCTAATCTATAGGTTAGGTTAGGTTAGGATCAACCTGCAGGGCTCTGGTCTGAACTCTTAATCTAGGATGACTTGCCTTGATTCATGAGTGGATTTTACGAAATACCGTTACGTTTTCTATGTTATCAATTTCAGAATAGAATAGTTTTACTACTAATTACTGCTCAATCTGACCTTATACTTACTAAGATAAGGTATACTAAGTATGACTTAGGATCAGTAAACAAACACCGTCTTACTTTGAAAGTTTTCTGAAAAACCTTTCAAAAACTATAGAACTTTTCGTTAGTCTTTAAAACTTTTAATGAACTTCAGGATATAGCCCAGACAAAATAGCATTCATCTTGATATTTTGAAGTAGTTCGGATCTCTTTTGACTGAGTTATGAATTTTTCAATTTTCGATGCTAATAACCTAAAATGGGTTATTTCTCTTGGTGTCATGGGTGTTCACAAGTTTTTTGAATTCTTATCTGAAAACAGAAGTTGCCGCGAGACTGACCGCGGTCGATAACCTGTGGACCAGTTCTTTTTGAAGTTGTTAAAAGCCACCTTACACCAGTCCTGGAGCTCCCATGAAATCCGATGTCACACTTAAGCCATGCTGATCAAGAGTTCAGACGACTTACACTTTTTAGATTCCACTTTGGGCTATCTGTTCATGCGGAAAAAGAAGTATATTTCTCTTTCAAGTTTTCGAAAGTTAGAAAAGTTTTTCAAAGATTCTCTCAAAACCAAGCATCGAAAAGAGGTTGTCAAAATTATTTTTTATTGAAAGATTAAGTTATAGGTTGTTCTATTTTTTTGTCAATGGTTAGGTTAGGATTAGGTCGTCAAATCCATAGGTTAGGTTAGGATTAGGTTGCAAAAGTTATAGG